GATGTCCTTCTATGTTCCTTGGCAAGTCTATGGTATCACCTCTAGTACCATGAGGGTGGTGAAACGATTCAGCTTGGTTGTTTCTTTCACACCTTCAAGAATGTGTGAGATGTCATTTTGGATCTGCTAAGCAATGCTGGATGCCTGCCCAAATCAAATCACTGGCCGTGGGAACAGTTCAAGTCTTTATGAGAGAGACTTGGGAGGAGGAGGTGAAAGCAGCCATGAGGTATTCCTTGTGTCTCTGCCCTTCCCCCAGCACTTCATTTTTGCACCTCTGCTGAGCCCCAGTGGAACCAGGGCAGGGGGATGTCTTCTCTGTTCAGGAGTGCTGGGCAAGATGAAGATACCTGCAGCCATGCTGCTCTCTCCCAAGAGGGCCACACTGCTGCAGCTCTGCTCTCACCCTCCTACCATCCACCTGCTTGATTCCAGCTCCTGCTGGCAGCAGCAGAGCTCTGCCTGGCACTGCTGGGCTCTTTGTGCCCTGGAGGTTGGCACACCTGGGTAAAGATCCTTTACTAGATGCGCTCTCGTGAATCTTGGGCACGAGCACCACAAAAGGTTGTAATAAGGTAAAGAACTTGTTGTGAGGCCACAATGTGACAAATGAGTAGTAACCCACACCTTGATGTAATGGGTCTACATTAGGTTACTCTTTTCTACCTTGAGAACTAAATGAGACTATCCTAGCTGTGAATGCCCATTGGATTTGTATCAATCCATAGGCTCCGACTGGACTGCAGCAGCATCACTTCTTAATTCTTCATGTTGCAGACTAAACTCCTTCTGGTTTGGGCCTATTAGAGAGTAAGAGCTCTTTGGACAAAAACTGTTTGACCTCTGTTTGCATGGCAAGATTTTTCACCTGTAATTATTTACTAAATGTGTTGGGCTACTGTGTACCCTAAGTAAGAAGAGCACAATTTATATTACCTACTTTAAAAAGCCAGAGAAATTGGATTATTTTTTTTTTCAGAGAAGATAATGTTTAGAGAGAGAGGGAGACACTGAAATGTCTGAAAATATCTACTAACAGAAATACATAGAAACTTCTGTTTAGCCACAGCAAAGAGTCTCATTCTCTCCATGGTTTGGGCACCTTTGTCTTCCTTTGCATATATGAAAGGTGAAGTATTTGGCTAATTCCCAACCGAGATTGCACACCCAGGATTCCACCGAGCTTCTCTGCTCCAGTTGTGCATGCAGTTTTACCTGCTTAGTCAATGAAGGCACTGGTGGGCTGTGCAGCCTTGGTTGGTGTTAATGCTTGGCCTCAAAAATTTGAGTGGTTAGGTGTTGGTGGCCACACTCTGGGATGACTGCAGAAAGTTTGGCTGAAACTGTTTTCTGAAAACTATGTATCAGTCCTCTGACAGCATATGCATATATGCCATTCTCTTGTGCTCTACCAACTAAACTTACTGAAGAATCAACCTTTCCTTTGATGCATGGTGCCTGACAACGTTCTTTGAGTCATATTCAGGAGACATGACTACTACAGACAATTAGAGAGAGGCCATTTTACAGCAGGCCTGATGGCTTGCACTGGTATTCAGGGGCCACACCAAGAGACCAATGCCAGTATTTGACTCAGCTGGTACTGCCAGACCTGAGACAGCCCTACAGTTACCCCTACCAGGGCTGCCCTCTCTAGGCATTTTGGAGCCCAGAAGGGACTTCTAGGCTGATTCAGGTACCAAGGGATCACCCCACCATTAGTAAAAAGGTATATGTTGCACACGTAAGTGGAGAATGGCTGTTTCTTGCTGTTTGCAGTGGAGAGGAGCTCCACTGCTGGGCAGCTGGCACGTGAACAAACTCTTTTTGTGCCTCGAAGGTTGCAGAAGGTTGCCTGTGGTTCTAATATAATGCCTGACCAAAAGCTTTTTTTAGTAAATGGAGAGCACTTGGAAAGCTTTGTTTCAGGCCTGAGGCAAAAATAGCTCATGCTTTGGGGAAAATGTGCCTGGCCCAGAAGCCATGGAGGTCCTTCACAGGAGTGGGGTAGGTCCTGTGCCCCCAGTCAGCCCCTGCACCCACATGGTTGTTATCACTATCACCTACTTGCACCTTCCCCAATAAGCAGCTATGTGGAAGAGAGGCCCCTTTGGCTCTGCTGGAATGACATGGGAGCGTATTCGTCCTGCAATAAAAGAGCATTTCTGCAGCGCTTCATGGACTGTATGGGTCAGGAAAAGATTGTGTAATGAGCACATTTCAGGAGATTTGCAAGTTCTGAGGAGATCATAGGTTTGTCACCCAGGAGGTCTTCTCTTTAAGTCAAGTGGCGTGTGTTGTGAGGACTCGTTTTCTCAGCAGGAGTGGGAGCAGCCTTTGGCAGGGCTGCCATTTGCATTGGGCTCTGGTATCCACTGCAGTGCAGTTAAGGCAGGTATGTTTATTTGGGAGGCATTTCTACACACACACAGAAGGGGTGCTTGTACACAAATCTCTCTCTTCCTCTCTTATGTGGCTGTGTTTCTTTGAACTGATCCAGTATCCCACTGAATTGAATAGGAGGTGGGTAAAGCCTACAAGCCTACTCATGAGAGTACCAATTTGCACCAGCATGCCCTTGTTTTGAGGCAGCCTTTTTTCTATCTCCTTTTGTATTTTTTGGTATGAAAATACTGCATATACTTTGCCTCTCTGAGGCGTTCCCTTGTGATACAAGAAATGTATCTCTGTCAGTGCTTTATACAGCCTCAGCACCTAAAGAAGTAAAGGACAAGCAGTGGGGGTTGATGGTGCTCAGCACTCTACTGGGAAGTCTTCTGGATGAGCCTCATATGCTGCAGTCTCTCTTCCTGCTCTCCACTTCATCCCCAGTGTGTATTACACTTGCCCCAGCTTCGCAGAGATAATTTGCACTCTCCTAGTTCATTAGCTGCTACCCCCTCCTGTCCATGGGCAGAAAAAAAGCCCTTACTGTTCAAAAGAACACATGCAGCAATCATTAATGCTGACCCTAATTGTGCCAATTCAAACCACTCAATAGCTCTAATTAAAACCTCTCTTCTGCAGGGCACTGAACAGTAACAAAACTGTCACCCCGAACAATCAAATCATGGAGCTAAGAAATTTTTTCCCTTATTGTGTTCAAATGTTGTTGCTGCTGTCGAAAGGGTCATCTGAAGGGATTAAGTACGGGGCTTTTGTAGGCTGCAAAGTGTGTAGGGGGATATCTAAACCCAATCAATATCTTTTGGTCACAGTTTGAAATCAGAAGACCCCAACTTTTTTCCAGGCCTCCTTTCAACCACTTTACCCACCCCCATGCAGCAAGCAACACCTGCAAAATAGCCAGGCTCTTGGTTATGAGACACATGGACACCACAAGTCAACTTAAACATCTGCAAAGGAGGGGGTGAGGGGGAAACCCAGGCGTTCCTATCCCTACAACCTTGTTTCTCAGGGTCCCTGACTACACTTTCCTGTGTGCCGTAAATAACTCTGCAATTACGTTAATTGGTTGCATATTTGTTGACACAGGAGTGGACAAGAGTAGGTTATGGTGGGAGGATTTTTGCTTTCGGTGCAATTTTATACTGCCTTCTTCAGATGTCCCTTAATCCCCGCTCTCCCTTCCCCCAGTATTTAGGATTCTCATGTCTTTCAGAATAACTTTATAAGCCTGTGGGTGGGAGGGGGGAGCAGGAAAAAAAGAGTGTTAAAATTAATTTGATGGCACCCATGCACTCACATCTGTTCTGCTGTGTTTCCCTAGCAAAGTCTATCAATCAAAAGGAAAAGGTTGATACATATCACAGTGGGATATTTCAAAAAGCTGGATGCAAGCAATTGTGTGCTGGAAGGTTTTTTCTGCACCAAGTTTTTGACAGGAGTCAGAAGAATGAAATTGTGTGCATGTTCACCTATGTTTTTACATTTCCCATTTTTTTTTAAAGAAGGTAGTGAAACTAATAGAGCAACAGCATTAACTACCAAAATTCCAGTCTCGGTACCTTTTGCTCTGTTTATTGTTGTACATGTTCTGAAGTCCAAATCAGGGACCAAATGAAAGAGCCTGACAACGCTGCAAGAACTTTTGTGTCTGTGCTTCTAGTTTAGATCATTGCAGGCACACATGTTACCACATGTGGTTCTGGGTTCAAACCACCATCTCAGAGTATTTGGTATGGGGTACTTGACTGAGTCTTCCTTTCCAGTGCCTCCTTAGCTTGCTTTCTTTTGCTAGCAGTAATCAGCATTGCAGTGAGAAAGTTCATGGCATGTTGTGTTTCATCTTTCCTCCTTTCATCTCTCCTGAGCTGCTGTCCTCGCTGAGGACTAGGGAGCAGGATGACACCTGTAGAGCCCTGGCAGTCTGCCTCTTCAAACACCCTGAGTGCTTTCTGTCAGAAACCACCTTCCTTGTTTCTTGTTCTGACTGCTGGGTTGTGCTGTGTGCTGTTACAACATTGCCTTGTCTCAGCAGTAAAGCCATTTAATTTAGTGATGGATAAAATAGCCCATATTTAGAGTAGTTTGACTCAGCCTTGAAGTATTCAGCCTTGGTTAGCAATGAAGTACAAAATCTGGATGTATAAACATATAAACACACATTCTTTCTGTATAGAAGCAACTGGGCAAAACTTAAGAATGTTTAAAAAACATTTTTAGGTGGACAGTCTGTAAAAAACTCTTACCAAACTCAGCCATCTGAGCAGATATGTTCAGGATAATGACTATTTTCACCAGTTTGCTTCAGACCCTGAGAGTCCCAGCCTAGAAGTCAGCAAGGGGCCACACTCTTTTCTAAAAGTGGGGTTGCTGTGAGACATGTCCCACATTGTGATGTGTGATGGTGCTGACCCACTTCTACCTTTGTGTCATCACTGAGTGAGATCGCAACATTCTCTAGTTTTCAGTGGCAATGTGCTCTTACAATGGGATGAAGAGGAATAAGTGACACTATCATACGGCATTCAAATGAGTGCACTTCAGAGCAAGGTCCCTTCAACAGCAGCACTGGAGAGAAGAAACCAGGTTTTTTGTTTGTTGGGGGCTGTGGGAGATAGCAAAACATTCGCGTGAGGCTCTTGACACTTGCTCAAGAAGGGGAAATAAGGCACAGAGACTTTTTTTTTGGTCTGTTCCAGGTGCTTCCAGCCAAGCCGAGAACAAACCCTGGGACCCTAGTATCATGTCTAGCTTCTGGAAAACAGCAACTCTTTTTCTGATCTGGTTCTTGCCTGCTTTCATATGGGAAACTTTGTGAGTCCCTGTGAGCTGAGGGTAGGGGATTTCTGTAAAATACACTTCTGAGTAGATTCTCATCACTTTCCGTTTGGATCTCCCACAGTCCTGTCTGCCCTTTGGTCCTTATTCCTTGTCCCCATTTTTTAGGCAGCAATGCTGGAGTCTATCCTCTTGACTAAGCTGTTGCATTTTAATTTTCAACAGGCCCCTATTGCTCTTGCACCTTGTGTGTGGTCTTTGAACCTTATGTGGCTCGGCAGCTGGGAATAGTGAGTGGGTGGGCAATTTAAAACAGAAAAGACTCTGTATCAGCACAGGGCTGAGGTTTGAACTCTGCTCAGCTTTGGATACGTGTAGCTGGTTCTCAGGGCTGTGATTTAAGTGCTGTTTTGCTGTTGTCAATGTGAAACCTAAATCAGTGCTAAGAAACTGGTAGGGATGAAAAAAACTTTGCCTGTCTGATAACGAGTGTTACTCTTGGCCCTGATGAAAAATTGCAAGATCAGGACACCTTAGAATTTGTATTCTGCTGTTTTGTCACCATTTTGCCTCCCCAACTCGGAAAACAAGGAATGTCTAATATGATGCCAGGGTTTCTTTGTTGGAGTATGTTTATGAGCTGTTTCATGCTGTGTAGGACACAATTCTGATTCTGAGTTTCCTGAGGATATGGATTGCTGATGCAGAGAGGCAGATGAGGTGGGTGCCAACCTGTGAGACAAAATACTTTATTGCATTCATCTAAAATACAATCCCAATGTCATGAATTGTTGAGCTCATAGGACCTGGTCCGCAGTTGCTTCCTCCTCCTTTTTGCTATTTTCTGTGCCACTAGAGGATTGTATGAATTGGTGGTGAGGTGGGAGACCCTGCTTTTCATGTGCCCTGGTATGATTCCCACACATGCACACTTCTTTCACAGTTTCGATGGTGAGCCCACTCTGCATGGGCAGAAAGTTCTCATGTGTGGGAGATTCACCACTGGCTCTCCTTCACATTTGCAGCCCAGAGTACCAAGTTCTCAAAATTTCAGTGCAGAGCTAGTTCTTTCCCCACCCACTTTCCATCTATCCCACCCAGGTAGACAGGATGAGCAGAAAGAATCCTTGCCTTGATGAGATTGATAAATGAGGTTGGAACAGAGCTCCTCTTTTCTGGAGTCCATATGGAGTCCTACCCAACTTCAAACTCATAGCTGATTCAAAAAAAAAAAAAAAAGTTGGCAAGTCCCTAAGTACTTTTAAAGATTCTAAAGGTTAAAGATATGGTCGATTGGCATTCTTTTTAGAGCCTGGAGTGATAGTATATTTACTTCACAGAATTAAAAAGAGTGTACAATTAGCATTAGAAACCTATTAGATAGATATTTGGAAGAGTCATTTAATTTTCCAGTGCCACATAAGTACCCCTCATTCATCCCCACTGCACTGGGCTTCATACTGATTCTTAACATTATACGCTACAATCTGCAAAATATAAGTAAGCGTAAAAAAGCAAAAAAGGAGAATACCCTTGTTTTCAAGGAGTTGGCAGATTACAGACTAACATCAACCATGTCGTTGTAGAGGTTCCATCCTTAAAAACAGGTAATGTGCTGCAGCACCATGTAAAAGCATACTGAAGATCAAATGGGCATTAGTGCCTCTTTACTACATCTTGCACCTCACTGCATTCCTTTTTTGGGTTTTGTTTTCATAATAATAAGGGTGTATGGCCAACAGCCTCTTCCTGTGGTGGAATAACACAGGGCTATGAAGGTACAGTTGGGTAGTAGAGTCAGATGGATGGCACTAGTGAGAGTTGAAAGTTTGGCAGTGAACTGTCAGTTTGGGAACTAACCAGGACTACCAGCAACATTTTGGGAAACCGAAGGAGTGCAGCCAGGACCAACACAATTTAATATACTTTCTAGAGAAAAAGTCTGCACAGAATTTCTGTATGAAGTATAATGAATGAAGTGGCAGACTCTACATGGATTTCATGCAAAAAGACTTGAAATCCTATAATATTTTTGACAAAGCTTTTTGTTCAAGGGTAAGTGAATATTCTGCAAAGAGCTTCCAGGATGAAAAGCCTAATAGAACACTTCCTATTACTAATGGGGTTTCTGTTTTATTCAGGCATATATATAATTAGCTTTGATAAAAAGCTGAGACTCCTTTTTGTTGACATAATCCAGCAAATGCACCCCAAAATATGCTAATAGCAATGTGTGTCTGCTTAACAAGTGTGAATACTTTGCACACAGCAGCAATTGTGCTGACAGTGGGTGACACTGTAAAACTGCTGTTCACTGCGATTTGAATCCTTTCAAACTCAATGATTCCTGATTTTCACTTTCATAATCACTGAGTCAAATTTATTCCTCCCCGCTCCCTCACATTCTACCTATGTCTGGGAAGCCGGGGAAATTGTATTCTACCTCATTTTAGGGTGACTGCACAGATTCTCTCATCCTGTGCTTGCTATTCCAAACCGCATTGGATCGTGAGTACGCTCAACTGTGGCTTTCCAGTCTTTATTCCAGGCTGCCCTGAACTCACCTTAGATGGAGATTTGGGGGTGCCAGCATAGTATAAAAGGCTCTTTCACTTCTACAGGTTCTCAGCAATTAAGGCCTGGCAGTACTGGATCATTCTCTGATTAAAATGATCCAAATGATTCAATAGGCACGATGTTAAAAAAAAGAGCTCTGAATTCTGCATCGTTACAACCTACAACAACCAATCTTTCAGCAAGTTCCTCATTTTATTCTTTATTCCTTTTGTGACAAAAAGTGAAATCTAAACTTGTTGTAGGAGCAGTTGTAGCATCCACTGACTTAAAAAAGGACCTCTAACAGTAAATTGGTCCCTAAAAGCAATTAACTCATATTTGGAGGCAGCAGACTATTCTGTATTGAAAGTGTGAGTAAACATTTCTACTAAACATGTGCAAGAGGTGATACTTGCCCTGATGGAAGCTGTGGCAGACAGATCCCATGACAGTTCTCTTGTGGGGGCAAATACTATTCAAAAGAGGACAGCAATCTTCTGAAACTTGTTTGAGGACAAGACAAGTAGATGCAGAGGCAAATAATCAGAGCAATCAAACAGTTCTCCCTGAACAGTTGTCAAGACCACCAATATATACATTCTGTGCCATGAGTTTGTGGTGGTGAGCATGATATGCATGCACCATAGCAACAAGATATTAATCATCAGCACAGACAGGCACATGTTGGGGTAAGTCTTCTGAGATGCAAGTCGTAGGCTGATCTGGTATACACAACAAGCCCCAACGGTACCAGTTTCAGTGCTACCTCCAGCATCACTGCATAGTTGAATTCATTACAACTGAGTTTACGTCTTTCTCTGAAGGATCCAAACTTTGGGCCTTGTGTAAAAATGTCTAGACACGAAGAACAACTTCTCTTCCAGTTCTATGTCCCTCTCTCTTTGTAGTTTTCAGTTACACACCCTGGGCAACTTCTTTGCTGGTGAGACACCACTGACTGGAGTGGCACTGTGCCAGCACAGTCTTTGGCACTCTGAGTGATGGCAGGGATTTTCAGAAGAGCTCAAGTGAGAAGGCTATGAGCCCAATTCCTCTTACATTTGGTCAGTAGCCTGCTCTTGGCTTGTCAGCATCTCTGCAAGGCCACTGGTGCCCAGTGCAGGCACTTCCCACTTGCCAGCAATCTGAAGAGAAATAACAGACAATTTAGTGGCACAAAACTTTCTGTTTCAGCAGTTTGTTTTATTTACCTAGATTTTTCTTTGAAGATGACACACCAGGAAAGTGCATCTATACCAACCAAAGCACCCAGACCACTATGCTGAAGAGTTTGGCATGCATTTTCAATTGTGAAGGTAATTTACTATTGGAAAAAAACCCTATGAATTTTCTCTCTTGATGCTGTCTTTAAATGAACTTGGGTGTCCTCCACCCTCCTGAATGGTGATTTGGTAAGGTTTTTGGGCTTGGAGCAGCTCTGTGGAATTTAATGATTGTGATACATAAGCCAGGCTATGAAGTCTCTTCTGCACTAAGGCGCTAGTTCGATTCCTGTACAGGCCATTCGCTTAAGAGTTGGACTCGATTGTCTTTGTGGGTCACTTCCAATTCAGAATATTCTGTGATTCTGCAAAGGAAATATACATTCCTACAGAGAAACACCTGGCCATGGGAATATAGGTCGAGACTGAAGTATGTGTGCCAAGGTTATGAACAGCTTTGGCCATAAAGGGATCAAAGGGTTCTGTTACTGGGAATTTCTGATCATCTCTAGAACTTTTACTTGGTGTTGAGATGCTGCTGGTGTCAGGGTCTCATAGGCATTGAAGGGTAGGCTTCCCGTGTAGCAGATATTCTTCATTAGGGATTAGGAAAAAAATTATTTTTTTATGGTGGTAATGACCATTTATATAGCACAGAGATCCTGATATCCATGGGTTTGTCTGTGAAAAAATACACCAAAGAAAGACATTCATGTTTAAAGTAGAAGTGATAAAGAACACACGAAGGCATCACACATGAAATAGGTCAGATGCAAAAATAAAGCTGGAGAGGGGAACTTAGGCAAGTGTGATATTTTTATCTGGACTGAAATTTTATCAAGACTTAACTATGAGGTGATGTGGTACTTCAGCGATGGGATCACCACCTGAACAAAACTGTACTAGATTCTCCCTGTCTTTTCACAGATTCAGGTGTGCACTGATACAACTCGTCCAAACTCAACAGAGCTGATCCTGATGTACACAAGGACACTCATATTCAGATTACCTAGCTCTCCTCCTCCTCTTCCCCTCAAGGTCTTTCTGCTCATGTCATGTGGAATGGCATAAGTTCAGGTATGGATCAGAGAGACTTTGAAATGGAAAATCAGAGGATACCGCAGGCCATATTGGAGAAGAGCTGGCAGAGTGGTGAGGGTTAGGACTAAGGTAGGCTTGTATGGGGTGCTGTGTTTGGAGTCCCAGAGGCCAAAAATAATGAATACTTGCAGAACTCTGTGTGAGTAACAAATGGCTTATCCTGTCTAGTGTAATGATAAAATGTTACATAGTGGGATTTTAAAAATAAATATGTTTGGTTTGTTTTTTTTTTTGTTTGTGGAGTTTTTTTTGTTGTGTGTTTTTTTGTTTGTTTTTTTTTTTTTTTAAAGAAAGATTAAAGCAACCGCTATAGCTAAACATACTGCTTAACTCTGATAAGATGCCAGAATTACACGATTTCTACTGTGTAACACGGTTCTTTGTGTGGGCATAGCAGCCTCTCCCCATACCTAGCGGATACACTGTAGGGAATTTTTGCAAATGTGAATATTGCCTCTTGTAAGGTCATCGACTAAAGAAAGTTAAATACATTGTATGAAGAAATTTTATGTCTTGTGTGTTTCCTTGAGAGCATCAGAAAATAGTGCTACATAAAATTATCCGTATTACATGCATAGCAAGAACCTTCTGTGCATATTGTTTTTCAAAATGTATGGCCTCTGCCCTGCCATACCTTCCATCAAACTCATGCTGGTAATTTGAAAATGAAGGACTCAATGTAAAAGCAAGTCAGTCTGGTTCCCAAGGTATCTCCACCACTCAATTAGCACGTAGAGAGAGGCTTGGCATTAGACTCTGCCTCCAGTGCTCAGAGTCTTCAGCTTACTGCCATTACACTGCCATGGTACTGCTCCCTCTTTAGTTCATAATCTGACAGACATGCCTGCAGAGACTGGGCCCTGCCGGTAGATGTATCTCCGTTTCCCTCCTGCTTCTGCTCCACAGCTGCACTCACTTTCCTATTGCATGACACAATGCTCACTTTCTACCCAAGCTTCCCATTACTGAGTACCTGGTTATGCTTGTACATACTGGGACCCTCATGCAGTCAATAAGGGCTTGTTGTCTCAAGAGGTACCAAACTTGGAATGGTTTTCCAGGTGCAAGGGAAAGACCACAAGCACATCACCTCCACAACGAGGTCTTCAGGATTGGCTGGGCAATGCAAAGCAATGGGTTGTGGGTCTACTTGTGCAGTTGGGAAGGCAGGGAAAGATCTTCAGGGACAGGTAGTCTCTGTGGCTGTGGGTCAGCCATGCCCTGGGCCCCCGGCATGGAGGTGACAAGAGGACATGCACACCCTGAGGCACGAGCTTGTGCCTACAGCAGCTTTTGCCCCAGAGAGCCAGACCAAAGGAACGCGGTTTGTGGACCATGAGGTGATTTCCTATGCCAAAGTTTCCTGGTCACCAGCCCAACCCGGCTGCACGGCTCAGCTGTTACTGTCCCAGCCCGGGGCTAGGGCCGGGTATGCCCTGCAGGGCTTTGAGCTGGAGAGTGCCGGCCGCGCTGGCTGGTCGTCTCCCGCAGCCCCGCCGAGGCTGCCCGGCACCCGCCCAGGTGCTGCCGAGGGCTCCAGATGCTGCGGGCCCCGGGCACTGCCGCCCCGCGCCCCCCGCCGGCAGCACCACCGCCCGCGGCCAACCTGCGCCGTCCGCCTCACGCCGGGCCGCGGGGCGGGGCGGGCGGCACCGCCTCCCCGCCATTGGCTGCGGCCCGCGGCGGTCGCGCGACTATTGGTGCTTGCAGCGGTCAGTGCCGCCCGGCCCCGCCCCGCCGCGGCTTTATAAGCGGCATCCCCATGGCCGGGGCGCGTAACCTGCCGCGGCGGCACCGGCACCGGCAGCGCCGCTCCGCCCGACACGGACACGCCGCCCCTCGGCAGAGCTCCGCCGCCGCCCCGAGGGACAATGGTGCCGCGGGCCTGTCGCAGCGTGGGTGCTCGCCCGTTCCTGCTGGCGCTGCTGCTGGTGCATCTGCCGCAGGGTCGCGGCCACCGAGCCACGGGGCCCCGGGTAAGTGAATAAGTAAGCTGCCGCCCCGCCGCAGCAGGTTGCCCTGGCCCCGGCCCGCTGCCCCCGGGCCCTGTCAGCGCCGCAGGTGGAGCCTCGGCCGTCGGGGCAGCGCCCCGCCCGGCGCAGACCCTCGCAAGGGCCTCCCCTCTCGCTTATTAAAAGCCGGGTGCCGGCTGCTTGCGCGAAGTTCGTACACCGTTATTAGCTTCTTGGTATTTATTGCAGAAAACACGGGAGGAGGGAGGTTGGCAGGCTGTGTTTTTATATTGCTCGTCTTGCATTTAATGTAGCCCCTGTTCCCAGCACATAGCTTTAGGACTTTTTTTTATGTTCTCAAGCAGGGATTAAATGAATCCCTGCAATAAAGCTCGATGCCTTCAGCCCAGACTTTTCCCTGTAGGAGTCTAGCTCTATTTTTTTTTTTAATCTGACAGTATTTGACTCTTACTGGGGCTGTTAATTTCACTTACCAAACTATTACATTGCTCCGGGGGAGAAACCAACATCTTTTCTAAATATGGTTCTCCCAGTGAGCGAGTGCTACCACTGCAGCACCACTATGGAGTAGCATGAGAGCTTTCAAATATAAAACTGCAAAAGAGTAGCTGTTCTTCAGCCAATGCTGCAATGAAAGCACCGCTCTGGATAAGTGGACAAACTTATATCTCCGCAGGCTTGTTGAATGCATTTGGCCGTGTGCATTCTTGACCTAGCAGTCTGAAATGCTGTGAAATGTAGCACTTAATTAACTTAGATCATGGTTAGGCAAGATCAGGAGTCTTCAAAATCCCTACTCATCTGAAATATAACAAGGGACTTCAGTGCAATGTTCTGTTTTCTGGGTTTTTTTGTGGTTTTTTTGAGTTTTTTGGTTTTTTTTTAATGGAAGTGCTGTTTGACCATGATGGCTATTAAATGCTACTCTGAGCTATGGAAAGTGTACTACTGGCTGCACCGATGTCCTTGTGTTCAGCTATGCTGTGTAGCCTCTTTTATGGCCAGATGTGTAACAGCAACTGTTAGAACTAGTGTGAACAGAACTAAGTCAGAACTGGTGTGTGCCATAAATTATTGGAAACCTGCTTTAAAATATGAGGAAACACAGGGGTGCTTATGCATATATCTGTATTACCCCATATCAAGCATAAACCTCAAAATTGGAGTGGTTCCAAATAGAGGGGAGCTTTGAGGTGATAAGTAAGAGTCTGGCTGGATGACTAGGGCCCTTCATCAGCACTGATATCTAATGCTTTAATGAAGATCAATTTAAACAAAGAACAAAATAAAAAAGTTCCTGATGGCAGTGCATAATTTTATAGTAAGCCTATATATCAAACAGGTTTCATATATGCCATTTTTATATAGTGTACTTTACAAGGCAGTTTAATCACTCCTTATGGTGTGTCTCTTGGAATGGGAGCTACTTCAGGAGAGTGGAAAACCAAATACAAAGGACTACTGATTTACTTTTTGCTTGAAGTAAGTGAACTGACTTTGCTATTTCTCCCTTCATGACTGGGGGAGAACATCAGTTATGAGCACTAGTAACTACAGGTCTGTGGAAAGATGTGCCTTAAAGTTTTAGCTTATGAGCTCTTAAATAGAAAGCTGTGAACTTCCAAGGTGCTTAACTCATGAAATCTGTCTTTTTGCCCTTCAAAGTGTCATGATTAAGTACATGTGAAGGGGAGGAGTTTGGTTTACTTGTTTGCAGCCATGTTGATTGATATAAGCCCCTGAGCTTCATCTCTTGTAGTGATTAGTTGTCATTAGTATAAAGGTGCCATACTTTAGATTCAAATGAACACAAACATTTCTTTATTATTAATTGTTAAATGATTATTACCAAGTTATACTGGTATGTATTTCTCATGCTGACTTGTGATCAAGAGTGTATTCCTGTCAGGAAACCTCCCTGTGTAGGTGACGGTGGTGTGTCAGTGTTGCAGTTCTGGGGGTCAAATCCTGTAGGTGTTCAGTTGCTAGGCATGAAACTTATCCTTTAGCATTTTCTTTTCTGTATGGTAAGCACTGGAACTACAATATTTGCAAGGTGAAATGCTTTTAAAGGTGAACAGCAGCTTTTTAATCCTTCTCAATGAATTTAAATGACCAACAATTACGCTTGAAGCAAGTTTCAGATCTTCCTCCTTGCTTTTTCCTCTTGCTACTGTAGTGTTGCTTCTAAGCTAGGCAGTCACTTGGGGCATTGAAGAGAAATAGGTGTATCTACATCTCTTCTCCCAATAAGGGGTGAAACTTTCAAATGAAGTGAGTTCAGGATAATTACTTGAATGCGAAGGTAAATTATAAGTGCAGCTAGTATCTACAGGTCTGCTGAGGAACTTCTGGCTCTCAAAAGGTGTATGAATCTTGCTGTTTCTTGTTATAGTGAAACTATGAGCAGTGACATGAATTCCTTAGACTTGGTAAGTGTCAGTGACTTGCAGGAAACATCTGGCTTTTGCACATATGCTGTTGGCAACTGACACTTACTAGCAGCTGCTCCAAGTGAAACCCCATATGAAGTCTTATACCTTGTCCTAGAAATGACTTGGAAGCCCAAGGCTACTGTGTGACTTGTTCCTTCACTTGACAGACTCTAGAAAAGCTTCTGCTGTGTTACCCAGTTGCCTGGTCACTTCTACTTTTGTAGCTCAGAAGAACACTGTGGATGTGATCAACTGACTGTACTTGTCCATCTGAAGGATGGAAAAAGATAATCAGGCTTTACTTTCTATCATGTTATCTTCCTGTGTGCCTCTTTCTCTTTGCTGGCATGAGATCTGGAGTTGTGTGACAAGCCAGGTCTTGCTGTTTCCCCCTCCTTGATTCCAAAGTGATAGATGGGAAGCTTGACTGGGCTGGCTCATGCATCTCCTACTGTGTGGTGCATTTAAGCAGTATTCTTTCACAGCAGATTAAATAGATTGTGCCACTAAACTCTGTATTCCTCCATCTGGACAATTAATTGTGACCTTTGTTTTTTCTAGTTCAGAGACAGATCTGTGTAGGCCTCCTGCTTTTTGAGTATAACTCCTGACTATTGTGAACTTGGTTCATTTATGGCAGAAAACTCTTGGTGGCAGTAATGACAAATACTAGCACAGAGAAATGGTGGGTGCTTGCAGAAGGAGCAGAATGTGACTGCAGCAGTCAAAAGCTGTCCTATGAATGGGCTTGGATTTCTGGAAGACTGGGGATCTGTACCCCCTCCAGTGACTGCAGAGGACTAAAAAATGGGAGGGGAGGACAGGTAGTCACTATAACTTGCTTCCTAGTTTCATGCATGGAAATACGTCATGTTCTCCCTTGAAAGGGATGGTGGGTGGGATCTTACAGTTCAGTGCTGTTGCAAAGGGAAGGTGGTAAATAATAAAATTGTGAAGATATCAACAAATTCCAGTGCATAAATTGAAGTGCCACAGAGCAATGGGAATTCCCTGCTGCAGCTGGCTACTAGCTGGAAGTAGTTGGAATACCAAATAAGAAAAAAGTGCTGAAAAGGCTCCTGCAGCTTTGTCATTCCTTGTGGAGGAGCAAGCAGCATTGCAGCTTGTGCCAAGGAGTGGCACAAGGAGTGTGTTCTGGTATATGTTCACTGCAGCCCCACTTGGAGGGTTCCACAAAGCAGATGTCTTTACACATGCCCTACCAAAATTAAGGAGACCATTTTTTATGGTGGGAAGAAGTTACAAAAGCACATATGATAGAAATGTAAAGCAGAGGGCTTCGTTCAAAGGAGATCTAGAATAGAAGAGTGAAACTTAGATAGGTTTTCAATGACTGAATTTTGGTTTTTGGTTGAGCTTAATCAACACACTGCTTTTCAAAGGTCTACACTGATAACAGCTGAAGCACTTTAATGTTTTAGATTTCCTTACAGTTGGAAAGATTAATTTAATGAAGAAATAAGTACCCAAAGGCAAGCCTTTAGTAAAGTATCCCCTAATAGGACAGGTTTATTACTCTATGGCAAACAGCTTTTGGGTACAGATACTCTGTTCTGGTCAGGTGAGAGATGTTTTTAACCAAAGGGGAAGCTCTGATTGTATATGGAGCTATACTTATTATTTCTCCCTCTTCTTGCTCCTTTAATGTTAGCTGAATTCCTTGATATGTACCAAAGAAACTAATCTGGCTTGTTTTTTAAAACATTATGCAACTATGTTGAAGAACAAGATTAATTGTTGTGTAGAGAACTATTAAAACATTATGTTCCAATACTTTCATATTGGAACAGCAGGTCCTGTTCTAAGCAGAAAAACGCTGTAGGATCTGACTTGTTCTATGTAGTTTTAGAGTTGGTGTTTTAACTACTTGAGCTTCAGAGTTGGCTACAAGACTATTTCCACTCATGTAAA